AGGTCTGCTACACCAATCTCCCTACAGTGGATCTATCTCCCCTCCTCTCCATGTGTGTTTCTGATGGCGGAGCAGCCCCCCTCCCGACCATGCTGCTCCTCCTCCTCCTCCTCCTCGCCTCCGGGATTGAGGCCCACCCGGTGGGGCTTCCCTGATCCAACAAAGGCTACAAGCCAGTCAGCCACCTGAGACAGCAATTGGGAGTTCTGTATACAATAAAACACTCCTTCCGACGATTTCTGTCTTCTAACTTCCAAGCTGGGATTTGGCCTGATGATTGTAGTGATCCGAGTACAACCCACTACCTCGACCGCTACAAGTTACATGTTTTTGTAGATGGGCACTTTTAATGTAATAAGTGCTTGGAGTCTTCCAGATATTGTTCTATTGTCGACAATGGGGCACCACTTTTGTAGTCTACAGACCTTAGTAGGAGAGAGATGGAGGGAGAGAGGAGGTATTCAAATATGTGGCAGTTTGAAGGAGAGGTTCTTTGAGAAAACAAGATAAGTTTATTCAGCAAATTTTCAACGCTGTTACCCCAGGTCGTCGTTATACTTGAGATGTGCAACGAACAATTATATAGTCATGTTGTGTGAAAGTTAATTGGCAACTGCATTACCTTGATACAGGGCACTCCTTCGCACGGGACAAATACGCATCGTCGGAGTTTACCCCTCCAAAAAAGCCGAGAATTTCTAGAGGCCATGCACTCCGATGCTTCATGCATCTACCGACATATCGAGTTGGATGGAATGTACAAACATCTCAAAGAAAGATGGAAGAGACGACAGCCAATCAATACGGACAAACGTAAACCCGACCTGCTAATTAACGTTCACGCCGGATGACCATGGACTGACACAAATTGCAGCTGCCAATCAGCACTCACACCTGATGACTATTTAACTGTACCAGCACTTTTGAAACCTTAAGTATTCGCTGCACATCTTCTCAAGTCTGAAGACGAGTTGGGGAACCAGCATCGAAAATGCACTGAATGCGCTAACCCCTGTTTGATTCAAATAACATTCCTTGGGGTGCCTGTCTTCCATTTTATAGGGCAGTTTATTAACTGCGAGCCTGAACTCCCCCCTAGTTACAACAGAGAAATCCCCCGAATTGTTTTTGGGAGATGAAATGTCAAGGCAGTAGAAAGTATGGGAAAAACACGTGCCTGAGCAGCAGTTATCTGTTTGCACAGGGTGCAAGGGGGAGAAGGAGGAGGAACGCAATTGTAATACATTGGAAAATATGTGGGAAATTTATCGAGCAGGCGTTTTATGGGGGAGCTTACAAAACCCTCTCCTCAGGGATCCAGTGCACATATTTACAGACACCCTACGAAACATACAGTATACGCAAAAACTGGTGAGAGATTAACCGCAAACAAACAAAAATAATGCAATCTGGTTTGCGAAATCGAAGATGAAGGAAAAGCGAATCTAACCGGTTAGAGCAGACGAGAGCTTACTGACTAAAAATAAACGGACAATTTATAAGTCTGAAATCGCAGTTTCTAGTCTGCCTTCTGTTGTGGAATAGGCTTGTCCAGTCAAGCATTGCAAATAAATCCAAGAACCTTACAGACAGTTGCACAATGACCAGTAAACATGCAGGACAATGAAAAGGGAGACTGCGATTGCCGTTTCCGGCTTATTAGCCTTCATCAGACAGTTATACGTAAACCCGCCTTTGGGCAACCACAAATTAGTCCAGTGGGATGCGATTTACCCGCTGATCTCCAGAATCAGTGCTGAGTGCGCCACGGACAGAAAATTGTCCAACCGTTTAAATAGTCGAAAACAGTGTGAATTTCATCAGCTTACGCCTGCTAGGGTGGAGTTGCAGTGGTATTCGTCCTAAAATACACTTGTATTCCGGAATGGCTGACTTTCTACCTCCGCTTCGCCGTTTAACAGAGGACGTTGGACAGGAAACACCCGCAATATAGGTTAAAAGGATGGATATGTCCTTGTATACTTTTGTGGCGGACGGCTATAATTGACAATCTTCAATGCCCGCGGCCGCCAACGTCATTTGTCTTTGTAGGCGGCTGTTCCACTTGGTGACCTGAAGACCATCACTTGACCGACTTCCACTCGCAGACATACGTGCGCACACACGCCCGCACAAGCGTGCCCGAGTAGCCATGGCTCCCTAAGGACCAGTTTACACACCACCCCTTTGGCCAACGCGGCAGGGGGCTTTTGCAGGCAACATCCACTAGGACAACTTGCAGCACACCAATAGCAAACCACTTGAACTCGCTTCCCAGTCATGTAAAATCAACCGTCATCACCCTACACAACACAGTCCACACTCTCAGGCCTGACTGGACGCAGTCAACACTAGCCCTGGCATCGCCAGTGGCCACTGCCACATGAAACTGCAACTGGGAGTTCTGTAAACAATAAACCTCTCATTCTGGCGACTCCTGTCTTTCACCTCCAACCTGGGATTCGACCTGATGATTGTAGTGATCCGAGTACAACTACTACTTAGACCCCTACACTTTATAAGCTGTATTAAAACATGAGCAGACACCATGTTATATTAATGGGCCTTTCATGATATCTCCGCATTACAAAACCACCTGGGTAAT